ATGCAAAATAAATGAAATAAAAGAAAAGAAAAGGTATAGCATTATTGCTTTGCCACAGAAAAGTGTATTCTGTATTCTAAGTCCTTATTTCTAGGTACTGTGGAGGTGTACTCTGTATGTCCTTGCTTGACGTATTTAACTGAGCCACGGAAGCCAGCCCGTTATTCCTGGCTCAACAGCCCTAAAAATAGGGCATTACTGAATAGCCCAATAACCCGGTCAGCACTCTCACACTGTGGCTAGCCTGTGTGTTGATTCATATTTTTAGTGGGCAGATGTTCTATCTATTGAAGTATCTATTTTTGAACTTTCCAAATGTCAATTCTCTCTCAAATGTGAGTTCCCACTCTGGAAGACGCGCTGGCTTGTTTGTTTGTTTGTTTTCCTGGCAGGGTTTACTCTGCAACATAAAAGGCACATTTGTCTCTAATGACTTATTTTTTTAGTATGGGGGATAGAACTCAGGTCCTTGTGCTTGTGAAGCAGGCGGCCGAACCACTGAGCTATATCCCCAGCCCCTGCCACTAATGACTCTTTTGAAATAGAAGTAATATTTAAAAAATTCTTGCCTCTATACCCTTCTATTTATTTGCCTGAGTACTAGAATCGATGAAAAAGGGATTCTAGAGGCAAAGGGTCCAGCGTATTGGAGTAATTTATGCACCATCTTTAAGTGCAATTTCCATCAATTTCTGCTTCCTTTTTTGGCATTTAAAGCTGCAGGCGTGGTGCACGCTTTGTAAATTCATTCAGTGTGAATAGCTGATTCCGGCTTAATTTGTTACTACTCCAAGGTAACAGGGAGGTGTGAATATAAAGTAATGTGACGGAGACTTTAAAACTCCCTAAACTTCCTGGAAACTATGATGGTAACTTGCAAAAAAAGCCTTACATTACTAATGCTAACAACAGCAGCCGCCATTTAGTTAGGATCAATTATGGCTGGATGTCTTTTACTTTCTTGTTAATCCTTATAACTGCCCTGTGGGGACGTTATTATTGTCATTCACCATATGACACTTAGGAAGAGATTAAGCAATAAATCTAAAGTCACACAACAGTAAGTGGTGGAGAAAGGATTCCATCCAAGCCTCACTTCAGCATCTATGCTTTCACTCACTCCTGGGCCTGGCTATCTGACTTTCAGGAAAATAGCCTGGTAAATAATCCAAAAGGAGAAGGCCAACTCTGAAAATAAAACAGAGCATCAGAGCTACATGGAGATACATGACACTCCTCACCTAGCCCTGCGACCCCAGACCAGAAGAGAGAGGTAAGTCTTCCACATTAACATGACATGGAGAACATCAAAAGACCAAAAAACAGGGAGCATCTGAAAGTATGCCTGGTAAAAAGAATGGAATTCGCAAGAGAACCAGAGAGTACATAAATGCTTCTCAAAGCCACGTAAAACTGATGACTGTGTAACAGTGAGGCTAGGAAGTATTTGTAGTTATGCAGATGATTAGTGTATGAAGTTTCCGGGATGTATAGCTTTTGGGGCAGAGCACTGCATATATTGTATTCAATTAGAAGGAAAAGGAAAGATAGAAAACATATTGAGCCAGATTAAAGAGAAGTGATATAGGGGGCTAGAGATACAGCTCAGTGGTAGAGTGCTTGCTTAACTTGAATGTGGCTCTGGGGTCTAGCAAAAACAATATGTATATATATATATATATATATAT